CACACACACACACACACACACACACACACACACACACACACACACACACACACACATTAGTGTTTAGCTTGAAGAGTGTAAACTTTAAATGCTTGACTTTGCTTGTTATGTTGATTGCTGACACTTCTGTTTAATCGGTGGAAAAACAATGAGAGGACCATTTTAGCACATTTTGACTCAGGTGTTGTTTTTAAATCTTAGGCAAAACCTGAACATTAACAACAYGACAGAAGTTTGTTAATAAACTGAGCACATTTTAAAATCGCTCACCTTTCCTCCTCGTTCTAACAGATTCACAAATGTTTCCACAGGTTCCATAAAAAGGGTCAAATCTCTCCACGACCCCTCCGCCAAAATGTCCAAGTCTGACCCACACGTGATGGCGACCATCAGCATCGCTGACACTCCCGACGACATCGCCCTGAAGATCCGCCGCGCTGTCACAGACTTCACCTCCGAGGTCACCTTCAACCCGAAGACACGGCCCGGCGTGTCCAACCTAGTGACGATCCACGCCGCCATGGCCTCCATCAGCGTGGAGGAGGCGCTGCTGCAGGCTGAAGGCCTGGACACGGGCGCCTACAAGACGCTTGTGAGCGAGGCTGTCATCCAGAAGCTGACGCCCATTAGAGAGGAGTTACACAGGCTGAGGTCGGACCGGGCGCACCTGGAGGCTCTGCTGGCCCAGGGGAACCGCAGGGCCCGAGAACTAGCTGCACCTGTGCTGGCAGAGGTCCGACACCGAGTGGGTTTCTGCTGAGAGCCTGGAAAATCACGTCACATTAGCACTGTGGACCATTAACGCTCGCTAATGGGAACTTTTGTTCCAGTGCCTGCTGGGCTGTGATGGATTATAACTCATTCAGTTAGAAAAACTGCTGAAAGCAAAGTGGAACAGCCTGAGCTGTAAACTGGGTTTGGTTCCGACTGAAAGGCCACTCGTGTTTGTCCCAGAGAAATGAAAGAGGAGGAGCTGCTCAAYGCAGAATCACCTCTAAGCCTCGACTCTTTCTGTTCGTTTGTTCTTAAAAATCACACCAGTTTTTATATTTATATGTGCTCTTTAACAGTTAGTCATCTTTGTGTTCTTGTTGCTGCTTTCAACCAAACCAAGAAAACAATAAAACCTTCTGAAAACCAGAAATGATGAAAACTTTTCTCATCTATCGTGTAAAGATCCCTGTTCAGATAACTAGAATTAGCAAGTGATGAAAACCTAACAGTCATTTATGATTAGGGCTGCCATTATTAGTCGATTAATAGACGACTAATCGATTATTAAAATAATCGATGACTAATTTAATAATCGATCAATCGTTTTTTTGTTTTGTTTTGTTTTTGTTTTTTTGTTTTTGTTCTTTACTTGGTACCACTTTACAATAAGGCTCCCCACATAGATGCTTATAAATAATTTATAGATAGGTTATTAATTCATCTGTAAACACTTTATAAATCATTAATAAGTGTTTATATGCATTAATTAAGAATGAAAAAGAGTCAGAACTCGGTTTTTGGTCAAATACTGAGCCA